TGATCTCACAGTTTGTGAGTTCGAGCCCCGCGTCGGGCTCTGTGCTGACAGCTCAGAGCCCGGAGCCTGTTTCGGATTCTGTGTCCCCCGCTCTGTCTGCCCCTCCCCCACTTGTGCTCTGTCTCTCGCTCTCAGAAATAAATAAATGTAAAAAAAAATTTTTTTTTAAATCCATTTAGAAGTTTTTCTTCTTCATCCTCATCCAGGTGAGGGTCACCTTTGAGAAAGGGGTTCTCGGACTCCCACAGCTCCTCACCTCCAGGATGAGCACTGCGGTATCGTGACCCTTGGGGTTTTGGTGAGTAGCCTGATGGATGGTGGCACTAGAGAACCTGGCTGGCTTAGAAAGATGATCTTGGGGAAAAACTTCGGCTTTTGTTCAACAGATATTTTTTGAGCAGACACCACATGCTGGGTGCTGTAGTAAGCGCTGGGAACACAGAGGTGACCAAACAAATCACCCTTGACCCCTGCCTTCCCTTTCTGAAGAAGAAATCCCGAAGCCGAGATTTCAGGCATTCAGCAAAAATATTCAGACTCCATACGGAGGGTTGTGGTGAGGGAGAGACGTGTCGGGAATGACTCCCGTGTTTCCGGCAGGAACCGACTGGGTGGACGAAAGTGCCATTGGCCACAGTGTGGAAGACTGAGGGGCAGGTGCGTCGGGGAGGGATGAAGAGTTCCTCTCCCATCTAGGGAGACGCCAAGGTGGTGGCTGTGTGTGCAGGTCTGCGGGGCGCCAGCTGAGCTGGAGATGGGAAGTTGGGAGTCATTGGCTCCGAGAGAGCTTACAGAGTGGGGAGAGAAGAGTGCCGAGGAGCTCTGAGGAGCTCTGAGTCGTAGAGGCTGAGTGGAGAAGGGGCTGGCACAGGGCGCAGGTGGAGAGCGACTGGGGAGGCAGGAGGGAAACCAGGGAAGTGTGGTGGCCTGGAAACCGAGAGGGGAGAGTTCCAAGAAGGAGGTGATCAGCTGGCGGACTAAGAGGTGGAGTCCGATGAGGTTACAAAAGTGGCCAGTGGTGACCTTAACCAAAACAGTGGTTTCTGTGATCCGGGTGGGGGTGGGGGGTGGAAGTCAGTTTAAATTAAAATGGTTAAAGGGTGAACGGCAAGTAAGGAAGGGAAGACCACGTGTCTTGTCAACTCTGTGGAGAGACTTGGCTCTGAGAGGGACTAACAACATGTTTTGTTTTCCTGTAATTTTTTGGTCCCTGTTCAACGCTGGAAGACATACCACGTGTCTGCGTGGTGGTTGGAAGCACGCAGCAGATAGCGGGGAAGACCCAAGGAGAGAGAGAGAGAGAGAGAGAGCGTGCTCGTGGAAAGCTGGAAGGGATGGGGCCTAGACCGCCTGTGGCGGGACTGACCTTTGAGGAAAAATGGGCTATTTTCTCTGTTTCGATGATAGAGAAGAAGGAGGGGGTGGGCACCGTGAAAACAGGTTTGCAGACTTGGTGGTGAGGACGACGTCACGTCCTGCCTGGTGACTTCTTTTCTCCTTGTTAAGTCCTGGGCAGGACCGTGCCCTGAGAGAGGGGAGGGCGGGGTGGAAGGGTCAGTTGAAGAGGAACAAGATATGAAATGCCATTGGGCAGGATAAGCGAGTGAGCTGGCTAGACAGTGATGGTCGCCGTAGTACCAGTTAACCCAGAGGCTGATACTGTGCCGCCAAGCGCTGTCTTCCGGGCGCTAGCTCACCTTGTTGTCCACCAAGTCCCCATCTTGACAGTGATGAAGAGCACAGCCGGGGGCCTGGCCGAATGCCAGCTCTCCCACTTACTAGAGTATGACTAACTCGCATATGACTAACTCACGTATGACCCAACTCGCTCGCTCCGGCGAACGGCTAAACATTTCAGAGCCTCAGTTTCCTCACCTCTCAAATAGGTGGGGGTACCTGCCTCCCGGCGCTGTGGTCAGTGACTTAATATGTACAGGCCTTGCCTGAAAGAGTGCCTGATACCTCGTTAGGAAGAATTTTAAATATGAGCTAAGAAGAAAAGGGAGAAGCATTGAATGAATAGATCTTCAAGAATAGATCTTCTATTGGAGGAAAAAGTCTCTCTGTGGCTGTAATGAATCATCTTCTGTGGAAGACCTTTTCCAGTCCTTAAAATGACAGTGGAGCACCAGCCTGCAAATGTAGGCCCCCAAGAGCCAAATTGTAGTCTTTGGAACTATATGATGAGACACTTGGTGGATTCTTTTGCCAGCCTAAGGCTAGGGTGACTGACTTCAACTACTCCCCTGGCTCATCCAGGGGTTTTGAAAACCCGGGATTTTGTTCCCCGTCAGTCAGGGAGTCCACACGCCTGCTTCAGCCTTCGTGCTGTCTCTCTGCCCGTAAGGTCATGGTGAGGAGGTGGCTTCGATGAAGAGTAGGGTCGGGGAGAACCGACTGCAAACCTGGAAAGAAGCCATGCACACCGTTCACATGTGCTCCCTCCATCCACCTGTAAAATGCCCATCCATCAAGGCTGAGAAACTCGTGAGAGTAAAAAACTGTCTTTAGGAGTACTTTGAAGATAAAAGTGTTGTGTGCTCACAGTATTATTATCAGAAATCGTCTTTGCTACCAGTTCATCAGAAATGCCTGGCAGACTGGGGCACCTGGGTGGCTCAGTCAGTTAAGCGACTTCGGCTCAGGTCATGATCTTGCAGTTCCGGAGTTCGAGCCCCGCATCAGGCTCTGTGCTGACAGCTCAGAGCCTGGAACCTGCTTCGGATCCTGTTGTCTCCCTCTCTCTCTGCCTCTCCCCTACTTACACTCTGTTTCTCTCTTTCAAACATAAATCAACATTTAAAAAAATATTTTTTTAAAGATATACCTGGCAGATTGAGGCGATTTGATATTTGTAATATGTTTTGAGTTCCTTTGGAGAAAGTGTACCACAAATGCCAGGTGTTTCTGTTCTGGGAGAAGCAGACGGAGTATGTCACTGAGGGTCCGATCACATCTTAGTACATCATGCTGAGTATTATAGACAAGCCAAAGAACTTGAAAACAAGATTCTTGTCTTCAAAGAACATAGTCTTTCTTCATAAGGAGATAAAACATACACATAGGACTATTCAGTATGACATATGATTGAGTGCTAGAATGTGTGATGCAGACAGAAAGTACCAGAAGTTACAGAAGGGGACTATTTGGTGGTAACTACTTTTCTGTTCCTGAGGTAAATGTTTTCTGATGGCTTTGTCCATGCAAGATTCAGTAGCTACTTGTATGTTACCAGGGATTCCTGATGTTTAGTGAGAGGTTACAAAATGGTTTATGATTATGTATGTCAGACTTGACAACCACGATCAATTTTATAGTTCAGACTGAAAAAAAAAAAAAAGCTGAAGGTGGTGGGGGCTAAAAGTACAACCTTAAATACCATCAAGACCAAAATGTTTTTTTGGGATGTTTTTCCCCCCGAGGTCAGCATAGAAAACATTCCATACCATTTTCTTCTAGTTGTTTTTCCTGACTTCATCATTTAAAAAGAAAAAAAAAAAAAAAAAAAAAAAAAAAAAAAAAAAGTAATTGTGTGCACTGAGAACTTCCATAAATTCCTTTTAGCGTCTCAGGTAAAATAGCTGGGACTATTGCAGATTTCCAAAGGAAGACATGGATGTTTAACCCTTGACCGTGATCAGACTCGGCGCCAAAACCTGTAACAACTCCCAATCTCCAGTCCGGTTGTGGAGTCCCACAAAGTGTGTGTAAGCGGTAACACCCGAGGTACTTCTGGCTCCCTGTGATTCTTCAGCCACGAGTCCCGCATCTTACATCCTTCTATCTCAGTCCCGGGCCCCTTCGCCAAGCTATCAGAAGTCCCGCCAAGCTATCAGAAGAGAGTAGAGGGGACCGCGGTTACCCGAAAACCATATTGGAACTGCCCTGGAAGGATCAGTGACTGAAAGTGGGTTTTGGTCGTCCCTGAACTAGTCCAGGCGTCCTGCAGTAAAGGGCGTTCTCATTTGCTCTCTGGCTAGGTTTGGGAATATTTTCTTGACCTTTATGCTTCAAATTAGCCTTGCAAATTGGCTCAAAAACTATCTTAGCTTCCAAAGATGTTCTTTTACCTTCAATATGATGGATCATTCCCATGCTTAGCCATGCCTACGGTCCCTGTCATTAAACAGCGAGAACTCCAGACACATCCTTGGCATAATTTAATAGAAAGATCGTGGAAGTCAGGGGGCAGAACTGATTGTATTTGGTATTGGCTCAGCAGCCGATCTCAGAAGGACCTCCTCCAATGTCTCCCCACCCTGAGGCCCCGAGAATATAAACAGAGATTAATTTGTTTCGTGGTTTGAAATCGGGATGGGTTTGCTACATTTCAGTGCCGTTGTCTGCCATCAGAGGCGAAACACCGGATAGTTGCTATGGATTTGGGAGTACCCTGTGGTTTCAAAGCATTGTTTTGAAAAGAGCAGATAAACCTGCGTTTTGGGCGGTTTTGTATCTGGAAGTGGAGAAACGTAAGGGAGAATATATGGCTGAAGATGAAATGTTTTTCTCATGTGCTTGCCGATGCCCGGTACATGATACTTGGTGGGAGGCCCGTGTGTTTGGCAGAGAGTCCTGTCACTCTCTAGCTGCCTTCTCGCCAGAGCATGAACACCGCTCCCCCTTTGGCCCTGTTGGAAGCCGAGAAGTGATGTAGCCGCCGCGTCTAGTTGGCTAGACTGTAACCTTGATCCTGTTGTAAGGGTGTTTTATGTCTTTCTGGGTGGCCTTTTCCCGTAGTGTGCCCTGGAGATGCGAGATTTTCCTTTGGCAGCAGGAGGCACACACCCAGAGGATGCCGGAGCTGCAAGGGGAAAGGACCCACTTCCACAGCAGAGAAAAGCAAAGAGGAAAAAGGCATACAGGTGGCCAGCGCTGAGGGCCGCGCCCAGCAAGCCGCCGGCCGCCGCCACTGCCCTCAGCAGCTGTCTGTGCTGCAGCCCGAGAGGAACTCGGTGAGCCCGTCCCTGTTTGTGACTGCACGCTCAGGATTTCAATCAATGCATTCCAGTAACCCCAAAGTGAGGAACTCTCCATCAGGAAACACACAGAGGTAAGGGCTAGAGCCCGCCCGGCTGCCCCCTGGGGGTG